CCTAAACTGAGATCGCGAGGTAATTTAATAGACGTTAAACGTTGAGAGGCTGTATCTTTAACAAAATCTTTTTTGATAAAACTTTTTATGGATAATTTTGACATCTTTGTTTTATCCATCATTAAAATATCCAAACAATAACAACTTTTGCTTGTTAGGTAAATATTATTATCCTTCTTAAATTTTAATGTCAGATGTCAGGGTTATATGACAAGAAGTTGGAATTTGGATGTGACTGATAACCCGTACATACGACAATATAAAAAGCAAGAAACTCAAACTCTTTCTCGTAGTTAAATTAAACCTACTGGTACATACAAGTAATTTGTTATTATATATATATATATTATATATATAGTATATATATATATATATATATATATATATATATATATTATATATATATATATATATTTATATATATATATATATATACTATTATATATATATATATATATATATATATATATATCTATATATATATATATATATATATATATATATTTATATATATATATATATATATATTATATATATATAGCTTTCTACAGACTTTTATTTGTGTTGGCATATCACAATCACAATACACAACAATAATTAGTTTTTAAAACTATTAATCTAAATTTAAAATTTATTTATAAATACAATTTATTAATATATATTATACTATGATCAAATTGTGTAAGAAATCAAAACATAAACAACATTTCTAATCTAAAAAAGCGGCAACATTTTATACACTTTTGCCACCCGCTGAACTGTCAATAATATTGGATATATTTCCGTATCAGTTGCGTACAATTGTTTAATATATTTAATTAAAATTATTATTTTGTGGAATATTAGACTTCAAGAGTTATTTCACAAAATTTATATTATTAATAATAATAAATGTTTTTGGTTATTTAATCAATATAATTATAAAATTTCCAATATAATGATGATTATATTTTTCTGATTATTACACCATGTTGACGCCTATGAAAGATCGAGCAGTTCAGTATGGGTTTCGTATTATGAGCTGTGTTAGGAAAATTTGAACTATAAGGTTGATGTTCTGGAAATTTTTAATACAAGTGATGTCACTTTGTATAAATCGTGACGTGCAAGTGTTTTACTTTGAAAAATGGTATATGTAAAACTGGTTGAGTTTACCGAAAGTACAAGCTGAATATAGCCGCAAATGTCAAAAATATTTCGGTTTGGCAGTGTTGGCATGTTTTTATATTTAATACATTTAATATATTTATATTTAAAAAGTACATTTTGATTATCTATACTATTTTATGAATTCTGCAATTTTTAAGTTGTATGAAGCAAAAACAAGTAGATATTTGTCTCTGTCGAGATTAATTGCAAACATCTGTTGTAATCTGGCAACTGCTGATTTAACGATTGCCAAATCTATCCTCTAATCTACCAAAGGGTAAATGCTAAAAAAAATTCTAATAATTTACTGCAATTAATCTCCAAAGAAACAAATATTTACTCATTCTTGTTTTATATAAATAAAAAATTGCACAATTTATAATACAATATAAACAAAATGTACTTTTCCAAAGCTTTATCTTTTTATATTTGAAGCATACAGTATCTACATTATAAAAACATGCCAACACTGCTATACTAAAATTGTTTGTTCCATGTTTGACATTTGCAACTATATTCAGCTTGTACTTTCGGTAAACTCAACCGTAAAACTACTTACACTCACACTCTATACCACAGAAGACACCGTTACAGAATAATAAAAAATCAGAATGCCCACTGTGCTTGTCAAGCTAAGTACGCGCATCTCATGATACTATGACTTCCGAGATAAACCCACTTCGCAATCGAATTTTGTATGTCGACGCGCATGACGTCACGTGGTGATAAAAGTTCCACTTTTATCAACAACCTTTTATCATCACAGTCAGTAAAACATATATGGAAAGAGAGGGTTTTTATTTAAATATTTAGAATATTTAGGGATGTTAGGTAAAATATCTGCAATTAAAACTTAAAAATATGTTATATATACATCTCTGTTAGCCTAGCAATGTAAATTAATAGAATTTAAATAGGTAATAAAATTATATAAAAAAGTAGGAACTAAACATCCTTTTGGAAATGGAAATTTATATACAATGGATTGATTTATTAAAATAAAAATTTAATACAACTGATAAAATAAAGTACACTGTCATAATTTACAAGTTTGTTTAATAATTTATTTTACAATGTTTAATATTTACTTCTTAACTTTGGATTTTTCTTTAATATATCTATTCAATTTTCTAATTTTAAAATATAATTTACATCTAAAAAAAAGATATTTGACATCTGAACTTACGTTTACTAACACAGCTAAATCCATTAGCGATTTTAAATAATTCTTGGTTAATTTTAATGACCCTTTGTAAAAATTGTTAAAAATATGGTCCAGTTCATTACATTTAATTAGAAAATCTGGATATGGTTTAAGTAAACCTCCTTCGGAAAGATGGTTTACCCAGTAAACCGATGTCAACTTTTATACAAGATAAACGATAACACAATACTAATCTGACAAAACTCCATACAACACAGAACATTTCTGGTGACATTTGTCGCCAAGTGACGTCACACGACTGATCGCGTGCGCGTGGGTTTATCTTTAGTTCATAGTATCATGCGCGCATCTCGTTCGCGTGGAGTGGACGAAATCAGCCATGTTTTAAACGGAACTTAATATGCAATATTTCGTTCGTACTTTAGTTGAAGAATATATTAAATTATTTCAAATTTACTAAATTATTAATCTCTAAATATTTAAATCTGATCTGTGCGTCGTAGAAAAAAATATTTTAAATAAAAAATGTAGCTGAGACAATCTTGAACAAACATGTGTATTAGTACTTTTTGTGTGAAATAAATTGTCCTTTAACCATCTAAACGGCAAAAACATTACTAACAAATTGATTCAAAATAAAATATTCAATACCAGAATAGTAAATATTGTCCGAGATTTTTTTAAAGCAATATACTGTGGACTGAACCAGTATTAATTGCCGACGACGTCGACTAGCGCTTTAACTCTCCAAATAGAGATGGTTATTTCGTTTAGTTTTTGAATATCCTTGGACAATCCTTACTTACATAATCCTTTAAATTATTCATTAATTTAAGTATTATGAATCGAGAAAAGAGAAAAGTTGATAAAGTGATTTTAATAATATACTGTTTCTGTCGGAAAAACTAGATAAGCTTTTAACATCTTTAACAATTAAAATACAATTATATCCTTGTTTACACACCCTATATCACTTATTGAAATTTAGTATAGGTATAATTCTTATCAAGACATTAAATACATAGAATTTTAAAATTAATAATTTATCAAACTTTATACATTTTTTAAATTAGCTAAATATAGATATTTATTTTCTAAACTAAATATCAATATACATATTGGGTTATATATTTAATTTTTTTATGGAAGTTATACATAATTTCCAAATTTCACCTTGGATTATTCATCATAGACCCTACATAACATGGTTTGTTAAGATCAGGTTGTTAGGAAGATTTTAAAAACACAAATATACAGCATGTTCTATTAAAAAATAAAGATGATGGACTATGCTAGACTTGCGTAAATCAACCTGTATATTTAAATTTATATTGAGAAGGTGCACATTGGAATTTAAAAGTTGATGTGTCCCAGCATTTTTTATAATTTTCTAAAATAAGGACCTAAACAATTTTATTCCAAAGTGGTTTCCACACTGATTTCAACCTTTTAACAACATAAAATCATTTTCTTAAAAAGTAATTCAAGCAGTGAAATTAGTAAAATGAAAATTGTGCTTTAAACAGATAGGTATGAATTAATTATGTGTAAAAGTTAGGTTTGTTTATATTTAGATTGTATTTCTTGTAAGGGGGTGAATAATCATCCCAAAAGAGGGAAGGCAAATTCAAGACATGCTTTAATAATTTGTTTTTTTTTATTGCTTAATATTTATATACTACAAATTAACAGGCTTGTAACAGAAGGCTTACAAAAAAATGAACATAGCTTTATAAGAAAACACAATATCCCAATAGTATATTTTAGTACCTTTCTCAAGCTTTTGGTAAAGTTAATCATTAACTTTTTAACTGAAAAACTGTAGCAAATGAGGGGTCAGAGGACTGGCCTATAATGGAACAGCATCATATTTAAGGTATATAATAAGTAGTGGTGATAAGCAGAAACAAATCTAAACCAGTTACAGTCTAAATGGGCATACCACGAGGCTTCATACTTGTCCCACTATTATTTATCATATTTATACCTGATCTAGAATACCCTTGCATGCAAGAAATGTAATTACACAAAATAGTTTAATTGAATCTATAGAAGATGCAAACAGGGCAACAAAAGAATTCTCTGCATGGCGCACAATGAATTATAAATCAATAAAAAACTATTCATGATTTTCCTACTGAAAAATTTGACTTATGACTCATGTCCACTCATTAAGATAATTGATAAATATGTTAAACAAAAAGCTCTCCAGATACAAAAAGCATTTATAATTCAAAAGAAGGTAACTTGGGCCCCACCCCCTTATATGAGTAAAAATAGTTTTATACCATCATCAATATTAACATGCCTTTACATTCTTTTAACTACCTTAAATATAGAAAAACATAAAATAACATGGCATATGAATAATGCTGTTCATGAATACTTGTAGTATATAGGCAATGTAGTGCAAGAAGAATTTTACATTGTAAATTTCTGTATGGCAATAAATACTACAACTAATACCACTACAGTGACAATGTCATGAGTCTCACATTATTCACCAAAAATTGGTGGTGACTAAACTATTGACATATCTGATTTATAAGTAATTACAGAGCCAACTCATTATGATTTGTTTTTGATAGATCTATTTAAACTGTGTGGTGTCTGAGTTATAGTTCTTGCAAGAGATCTTATGCCTTTTTAGTGGCACCTTTAATACTACAGAAGCAAAAAATCTTACCTGAGGATAATCCAACCATACATCAGAAAAAAATAACATGAACTTATTTTTGTTTTGTGTCATATACTGCTTTAAACTTGCTGACTCCCGTAACTGTAAATTTGAACTCCCTCCAAAGTAATTGATATTTCCAAAGACTGGTCTAAAATAAAAATGTGAAAAGAGTTGGAAAATAAGTCAGAAAATAACTTACTTACCTTGAACTTTTATAATCTTCACCAGGGGGTAGCACTATTGAAGAGACCAGAAGAATGCGATCTTCATAACAACCATTTACTAAAACTAGGGTATTTTCACTAAAAAATCCTATCTGAAATCTAAAAAATTATATTAAAATTAACCTACAATTTTGTATTTTGCTTAGTTAAATAAATAAATGTTACATGTTAATCAAATTAAAAAATTACTTAGCATGTTGTAGATTTAACTCCACCATTCCAGTTGGATCTTCCAAATGCCACTTTCCTTCAGAAACTTGAAACAAAGCGCCTAAAATTAAAACTCTATCTAATGTAATAGTGGAAATTGTTAACAAATAGTCCACAGTTTGCAGCTGTATATCTCCTTTTAGATGAAAATTTCTTTTAGTTCTTTGAAGCACTGTGGTATATCTTTCCAAAAATAACTTTGCCTTAACATCAGCCTCTGCTAAAATTACTGATTTTGTTTTTTCTAAATAATACTGTTTACGGTCAGGATTGTAACTAAGTTTGGGGAAGTCAAATGCATTTATAACATTAAAAATCGATTCATTGGTATCACACCCACTATAAAAACATGATTTAATAGCTTTTTGTATATTTTCTAACTCAATACTCTTTTCAAAACTGCATTGACTTTCTAAACTATTACACAAGGTGCTTAAGTTTGTATCAAATGTTGAATTATCACTTAAATCTACTCCTTCTGTACTAAATGTTTGTAATATAAGTTCACAGAATTCCCTACAAATGATATATTTGTTTAATAAGAAATAGTAGTTATTGATAAAACTTACCGTCTAACATTGAAACCGCTCAACTTAAATGCATTTTGCAATTTTTTCTTAATTTTCTCATCTGCCATTCTCGTACAAATAATCAGTATACCCTTTCTATTTTATATAAATTTCAAAAGTATTTTTTCACATATGTATTAACCAAAATTGCAAAATATAAATATTAACCTAAGTTTATTAGTTTCCCGCCAAATCAGATCAATTTAAGATGTATTTAAAAACGAGAAAGATATTTTTTGAATTATGTTGCCTGCCTGTTTGATTGTGATTGGTCAAAACCACAGCACATACAGAAGAGGTGTACTGCCGTTGTCTTATTGCTCGATGACTGCCACTGTGGTAAAATCAAGGTGAAATTTGAAATTATAAGAGATATGTAAGAGAGGGGATATGACACAAACGATATTTCTGCATTTAATAAATGGGACCACTTATTTTGACTGATTGTCTACACCAATATGGCGGCGGGCAGGTCCGGATTCAAATTAATTCAAACTGTATTTACGATTTACTGTTAAGTTTGGGAATAAGCATTGGGTTAGATTAATAATAGTTATTTGGAATAAAATTACTTTCATTTTTAGTACTTTTCAAGTACACTTTAATAATAATAATAAAATTTATTACATACATAAAGTTTTAAAAAATGTACAAAACTAGTCAATGATATGGTTTTAAACATTTACAATTAGCAAGTAAAAAACAACAATTAGCAAGTGCACTTACTTAAGTTTATATACATTTAGAAATGTTAGTTCCATGTAGTATTAATAAAAATTAGTTATTGTGTATAGGTAGGTAGTTAAAGAATTGTATCAAAGACATGTCGTGATCTTTATCTTTTTAACTTATTGTGGTTTCTATGGTTATGTAGATATAAATATATAAATATGTAGAAATTATCAGGTATAGTGGTTATTAAAAATCTTTGTTTTTTCTAAAGAAACTGAATATTTCGCTATTTATTTTATAGCTTCATCAGGAGTACACTGTAAAAAAATTTATAATTTCAAAAATGGCGTAAAAATACAATTTGGCACAGGTGATAACTACAAAAGTAGATTATTTCTTGAGATGTATCACATCAACAAAAATGAAAACACTTTAAATTATAAAACAGGCACTGGACAGTTAAGTAACTGTCCAGGTTCCGTTTACTGTTAATTGTAATATATTAAACAAAATTTATAAATATTGAAAATAGCTAATATTCACCTTCATAACAACCAACCTTAATAATTCATCTAAGAAATATCATTCTTCTAACGTTTCTTTTATTGCTATTTTTGTTTTTACACCTAAAGTCATTTTAAATTGTTTATCATATTACTGTAACTAACGTGCTTAAGACAATTTAATCATGACATTTATTACATACTTCAATGTCAATTTTTATATGTGAAACCTTTTAATTTCTGTAAGTGTTTTTTAAATGTATTTGTACGCCATTTTTGTAATGTTAAAATTGTTTTACAGTGTACTCCTGATGAAGCTATAAAATAAATAGCGAAATATTGAGTTTCTTTAGAAAAAACAAAGATTTTTAATAGAGACCACTATTGTACCTGATAATTTCTACGTTTATAAATTATTTTTTGATTGAAATAATCACTTGTATATATATATGTATATATATATATATATATATATATATATATATATAATATATATATATATATATATATATATATATATATATATATTATAAGGATCACTCAGGCGAGTGGTGGGTTCTTATATCAGTCTCAAGGTGGAGAAATAAAAGGCAAACTTAATAGGCTACTTTATTTTGAAGACGTTTCGCTTTCGTATTCTGAAAGCATCATCAGTTCATCTAAAAAGTACAATATGAGAACCACACAATCATAAAGTGTGTTACCTTAAAAAGACATGTAGCAGTCAATGATATTAACAGATTTGTGAGTAAAACTCAAGTAAATAGACTTTATACCCTAATATCGTATAAACAATCAATTAACTAACAACATTGATTGTTTATACAATATTACCATATAATGTCCAATATATATATATATATATATATATATATATATATATATATATATATATAATATTATATATATATATATATATATATATATATATATATATATATATATAAATAATTTGCAACTGTAATAGAAAACGGTCCAGTCTATTTTTAAACATGTTAGTAGAAGGGGCAGAGACAATGTTATCACTAAGGTTATTCCAGCTCTGGAAAACTCTATTTGGTAGAAAGTTCTGTCTTGATCTTGTAGAAAAGTTCTCTTTTTAAGTTTAAACGTGACCTCTGAGGCGTTCATCTTGATTTATGGTAAACATTTCGTACTCTTATTTTCGAATTATCCTGGATATGTAGCACCTGTATGAAAAACAAAACAGTAAATATCACAATATTAAAGATATAATAATAATAATAATAATATATATATATATATATATATATATTATATATATATAATATATATATATATATAATATATATATATATATATATACATATACATATATTATGTATGTAAATGGTCTGAATCTTAAGTTGGCTGCATTTGAAAACATATTTAATATTAGTTTTATAAAATGTTATTCATAAAAAGTTCTGAAACTTCATAAACCTAAAATACTATAACATATATAAACCTTGATTTTGTACACAAAGTACAAAATGCAAAATGCACAATTGAAGTTGTATACAAAGTACTGTGTAATGTCCAGGTGTAATTCAGAATATTACCTACATTATTTTAATAACCTACTTCATTTATAAGTATTTATAATTATTGTTACCTGAGATTCACCAATTGTAGGGATTGCATTCTCATGCAAACGGACAAAAGCTAATGAGGTCCTATCTATACAGTCCTCCACAAAATGTTTGGAACACAATTTGCTATGTTTTGATGGTTCCCAGTTCCACACTATTTACAAACTGTATCCAGGCATTTCTCTTTTCAACATCTTTAGAAAATCTACAACCACATAAACCAAATTAAAAAGATTACCTGTTCTTTTTACACGCAGCATCACTAAAAACGGAAGTAATACCGCCCTGTACACTGTTTACAATTTCATACTAACCCATGAAAAGATATTCCAGTTGAGTTTTTTCTTATTATTTCAACTGTTATTTAGACACAAAACAAAAGCACACAATGCCATAATGGTTTCACTTTAAAATAAACGTAAAACCGTACAAAATTAAGTTCAAAATACTTTTAAAATTAAATTTCTATGCACAGAAGTACAGACAAAAACAACAATCTGTCATGTCTACACCAATATGGCCGAACCGATCCCATCTATTTCACGGTATGTCATATCCCTTTTCTTACATATCACTGGAAATTATACACAAAAGAAAAATGTCCATAGATTAAAGTCATTGAGTTAGATTCTAACTCGATCATTAAAGTATATCGAGAAATGTACTTCGTCCATAGATATAGTAATAATAAACTTTGACATTCTTATGTATATATATACAACTCGGAGAAAATAAATGAAGGCAATGTTTTAAAGTTTAGTGCGAGTGTTGTCTGCTAGGTGAAATAAATAAGGGGGCAAAAAAGTGGTACAGTAGGCGGTACTGTAGACTAGCGCGGAGCTTCATACTATGTTTTCTGTATTTTAAAATTTTAAAATATTTTTAAAATTAGAGAAAGTAATTCTATCTATTATTAAAGCGCCACGAAATAGCGTATTTCCACTACAAAAGCTTGGCAAGGCGATGTAAAAAGTTAGTAAGAGTCCATTTACACGACAAGAGTGTCCGATATGCATGAAAATAGGGAATATGTCTACAGATGTAATGGCTGCTGCCACAAAGTTGGTATAAGAGGAAAATTATTCTCCACGTCGAGCAGCCGAGAGATATAATATTAGTTTTGTAACTTTACGACATGTGTTTAAAAATGCAATAATGCTGATTCAGGTATAAAAATGTATCCCAATTATTCCGTCCGACAAATTTGTACAGAGGAACATGAAGTAAAGTTAACAGAATATAATACCTGCAGTAAAATGGCGTATACCTTCAGTAAAAAAGCTCGGGCTGCAGGTGTGACTGTTATGGCCTTACCACCACACTGTATTCACAGTCGAATTTATCCATTTAATTCTTGTGTCTTTGACAACACAGATTTTTTAACATCAGCAGTATCTGACAGGCTACAACGGGAAAATGTCCTCGATTATAAATTACCTGGACCTGCCACCTTAAAATTTCGTAAAGAGACTACACCAGAGGGTATTCAAATCCACCACCCCGTAAAGCTAACAGGAATCCTAGAAAGCGTATTAAAAGCCCAATTATTACTGACATACCAGAGAAAGATGCGTTAATAGAGAAAGAAAGAGGAAAAGGGAAAGCACTAATTAGCAAAAAGGTTAAAGATTGTTTAAAAGAATTCCCTACAATAACCAAATTAATTAAACTGCAAAAAATAGAGTTTGACTCCAATGAAGAAAGTGATATCCAATTAGCTGACTCCTCAAATGATGATCATAATTGGATTCCTGAACAAGCTAAATATTAACAATTTAGTAAATAAGCAGACATAAAATTGCATTAGTAACAACACGCTATAAGAAGTATTCACTGATTCAAAAGAATCAGTAGGTTCATTCTCGCATTTTCACGGTTCCAATTTGGAATCCACTCCTAGGACCCCGCCAGACCGCAATGGATTTGGCGAAAAATGCCGCCGTTGCAAGATTTAAAATATTCTATCAGTTTCAAAGAATATTCCAAATTTATAATAAAATAATTATTATAGAAGTTCTTTAAAAAGAGGAAAATAAATTTCATAAATGGTAAAATTCTTCACATACTCACTATACACACTTCTAAAGTTGAAAAATCATATTGCCAAATTGACTTAATCTATTCTCAAATAATTAATCATAAGTATCTATCCATTAATTGATTACATTTGGCAACATTGATTTTACTCAACCACGTGTTTGTGTTTATGCTGTGAAATAGTTATTTCAGTAATTTATATATAAATTTCATTTATTTGTTGTTATATAGTTGGTTTTATAAGTGTATTTCGTATTTAATACATATTACTGTGATATTTCTCCAGTTTTCTAAGTGGTTTTATTATTTTAAACAGCGGATTATGATATGAAACTATATAACAGGCCTCCTAAAATCCAGCTTTGGTTTGATTCTTCATGCTTTAGTATTAAAAACAAAACTT